AGTTACATATTAACAGCGATGGTGATGAGTGGAAAAAAAAAAAACACCTGGTCTCCTTACATTCAGCCACTCTTTCATCATCTCCTCAATGAGGTGGTCTCAAAAGTCGCAGTTACAACACACATAGGGCGCACCGCACCAAAGGGCGCACCGCACATTTTGAGGGAAAAAAAAGACGTTCATGTGCGCCTTATAGTCGTGAAAATACGGTAATAAATGCTAGTTCACAAAGTTTGAAGAGCGGGCTGCTTACAGTAGTAGCCATGCACAATTTCCCCACTTTCCTTGATGGGCCCTTGGCTGGTCCCCTACAATTCCTTTTTAAACATAAATCTTTATACTGAAATATTATTTCTGTCATGATTTGTGGACATTAAGGTCTAAAGAGAAGCGTAATCTCCGGGTCAGACCCTTTAATTCACTCCAGTGGCTGGAAGTTGGAGGGAAGTGGGCTGCCATTCAGCTAACGTTTGACTGGGAAGGGTCATTTTGAATGGCTGCAACTGTACACCAGATTTTAGTCATTTCAGACCATTTATAGCAGCTCCTGTGGAGGTGTGAAAAAAATCCATCTAAATATGGAAAAAGTTCTAATGGAAACAGTCAGAGAATAAGCAAAGGGATGGTAGCCTTAATTCAGGATTTTTTTTGTGTTCCCTACAAACTAAACATTAAAGCTGATCTCTTTTGGGTTTCTTTAAGCATTTAACACCCTCCACACTTTCATATAAAAATCTATATAGTTTCAGATGAGTGGTTAAACAGTGTTTCACTGATTCTTCCTTTCACTGCCTCTTTTCACCTTTGCTACATGCAAGTTTTGTACGAGGAATAGCTGTAAATTTAGAGACGCATTGCAAGTAACTGTCCAGTGGAGCTGCATGCCAATACAGGAGTGAATGGTGCTGTTTAAAATCTTAAACTGTCTCATGTGTGACTGATCTGCATGCATGTGGTCTATATATTTCAAGGTGAGTCATAAGAAACCTGTGAAAAGTCCCAAACAACACATGATCATCAGCATGGCAACAGACGTGTACGAAGCTTCCCTGAACCAGGAGGACCTTCTGCCTTACATCATCAAAGATAACCCACCACTACCTGTGGTGAAGAATCAACGGATCAAGATCACTGCCCAAACAGGTCAGATCGAACTGTACTGTACTTTTTGAACAAAAATAGAATAGAATTCAACTTTATCATCATTACTACAAAGCAATGAAATTCACTATCTACATTTAACACATCCCCTTGGGGAATCTTTGTGCGGCACCCAGGGAGCAGTGTGGGGTTAAGGGTCTTGCTCAGGGAGCCAGAGTGGCAGTCTGTGGGAATGAGTGGGGCTTGAACTCAGAACCTCTGGGACCCAAGTTCAATGCTCCAACCACTAGGCCATCACTACCCCCTTATCTTATACAAGATCATTTTATAAAATATCAAACATTAACAAGGAAAACAAACTGTTCATTGTTTATTTAAGTATTATCCTTACACTCACTTTTCTGTTTTGTATGACAGCACACAGTGGATGGATCAGTACAGGCCTCTACCTCTCTCCTGGCATGAAGACAGATGTCGTTTTACCACCGAAGTTGGTGAACACTAACTGGAGGGTAGTGTACATAAACTCAAACAATTACTGTTCCCTAAATATTCTGCTATATCACATAGAATTCTGATTTAATTCTAACATTAAAGCAACAATTTTCCACTTTTATTCAAAGATCCAGATAGGCTGCCACAGTGATCACCTGAAGAAAAAGGTCTTAGTGAGAGCACCGTATGTTATCAAGAGGTTCCCTGTTACATCAGAAAGGATGAAGGTGTGGAACCTGTGGGGAGGACTCATCTACCTGATGGCTCCACGTAATATAAAGTTGGAGGAGGAGCAGGAAATCGTGGTAGAGGAGGCTGTGGCTGCTCCTTATTACAAGTCTGGTAAGTGAGTCACCATCTGTACATGCGCAATAATGGTATTTTCTGGTCATTTTATAAATGTGATGTGGATAAAGCCTTCTGAAATTTGTTGTATAGCACATTTTCAGACCACTGGTTCAGTTAAAAGAATCTGTCTCCTCCCTTTTTTATATTCTATTCTAATTGCAACTGATCTTGTTTGGGGTTTTTTTTTATTAAAGAAGATTTTCTAATCTACCAGTGTAGTTCTTAATTAGTTCTTAAAGTAACAATTCTGTAAATCTCAATTTCCACCAGGTATTCTGTAGAGGATATCATCCTCTGTACTCTGCTCTTTAAAACAAACCAAATCTGTTTGACCAACACATTTGAAAATTTCTGACTTCTATTAAAGATGTAAAGCCAGATCTTGAAAACATTGTAGCCTTGGATCACAACAGATGCAAATAAAACAGCAAATTTAATATGAATACTTTGTTTGCAGTTTCAAATGCTTTAATAAAAATGCTTTTTAAAACCCTGTGAATCAACTCAATTAACACAACTGACACTAGTTTTATTAGCTACTTATAACAATAACAGCAATGGTGAAAAACATGTGGGCTGCTCAGTGGAGCTGTCAATAGCACTGCTCCTTGCAGCAAGGAGGTTCTGGGTTCAATTCCCAGCCTTGACTCTTTCTGCTTGCAGTTTGCATGTTCTCCCTGAGCATGCGTGGGTTCTCTCTGGGTACTCCGGCTTCCTCCCACAGTCCAAAACCTTGACTGTTAGGTTGATTGGCTTCTCCTTAGGTATGAGTTTGGGAATGGTTCTTAGTTGGTTTTTTTTTTTTGCAAAACCAAACAAGAAATGTAACTGCATTTGCCGCTAATGTAGCACCTGCATACAGCTGATGCTTTTCAAATACCATTTTTATATTGTGAGAAAAAGAAATAATCCTTTTTTGATTGTTAGAAATAAGAAAACTGCTTTAGGAGAGAGTTTCTTAAAGGTGACAGTCTTTGCTTTTCATGCTTGACACAAGGGCTTTTTAGTAGAAACTATGACAAATATATCCAATGTGACTATTGTTCTAAAATAAACCCTAGTATGCTCCAGTATGTTAAAATAGTGGATGCATCAGTAGATTTCATGATTTGCCTTTTATAGCTTGTAGTTCTCAGCCACTGACATAGGAGGGTTTGTTGACCTGTGTCAGAATTTGATGTTGGATTGAGGACCTAAAAGCAGAGGCAAGTTGAC